CCCTGGGGGTCATCATTTGAACAAAATTGAATCTACACTACCTGAGGATGCTTCCATATCAAAATGACTAATCATGGTTTGCAGTTCTTCAGAAGAAGACATTTTCCTTTATATTTCTATGCAAAACTTTGATCCTCCATTGCAGCCCCGCCCTACCCCCGGGGGTCATGGTTTGAACAAACTTGAATCTACACTACCTGAGGATGCTTCCATATAAATATGACTCATCATGACTTTGCTGTTCTTGAGAAGAAGATTTTTAAAGATTTTTCCTATATATTTCTATGTAAAACTTTGATTCTCCATTGCGGCCCCGCCCTACCCCCAGAGGCCATGGTTTGATCAAATTTGAATCTACACTACCTGATGATGCTTCCATATCAATATGACTCATCATGGCTTGCTGTTCTTGAGAAGAAGATTTTTAAAGATTTTTCCTTTATATTTCTATGTAAAACTTTGATCCTCCATTGCGGCCCCGCCCTACCCCCGGGGGTCATGATTTGAACAAACTTGAATCTACACTACCTCAGGATGCTTCCATATAAATATGACTCATCATGGCTTTGCTGTTCTTGAGAAGAAGATTTTTAAAGATGTTTCCTATATATTTCTATGTAAAACTTTGATCCTCCATTGCAGCCCCGCCCTACCCCCGGGGGTCATGATTTGAACAAACTTGAATCTACACTACCTCAGGATGCTTCCATATAAATATGACTCATCATGGCTTTGCTGTTCTTGAGAAGAAGATTTTTAAAGATTTTTCCTTTATATTTCTATGTAAAACTTTGATCCTCCATTGCGGCCCCGCCCTACCCCCGGGGGTCATGATTTGAACAAATTTGAATCTACCCTACCTCAGGATGCTTCCATATAAATATGACTTATCATGGCTTTGCTGTTCTTGAGAAGAAGATTTTTAAAGATTTTTCCTATATATTTTTATGTAAAACTTTGATCCTCCATTGGACCCCGCCCTACCCCCGGGGGTCTTGATTTGAACAAACTTGAATTTACACTACCTGAGGATGCTTCCATATAAATATGACCAATCATGGCTTTGCTGTTCTTGAGAAGAAGATTTTTAAAGATTTTTCCTTTATATTTCTATGTAAAACTTTGATCCTCCATTGCAGCCCCGCCCTACACCCTGGGGTCATGATTTGAACAAACTTGAATGTACACTACCTAAGGATGCTTCCACATGAGTTTCATCTTTCCTGGCCCTATGGTTCTTGAGAAGAAGATTTTTAAATGATGCCATTATTTTTTCAGTAATTCCTAATTATCTCCCCTTGAAAGAGGGCGTGACCCTTCATTTGAACAAACTTGAATCCCCTTTACCCAAGGATACTTTGTGGCAAGTTTGGTTGAAATTGGCCCAGTGGTTCTTGAGAAGAAGTTGAAAATGTGAAAAGTTTACAGACGGACGGACAGACGGACAGACAGACGGACAGACAGACGGACTACAGACAAAATGTGATCAGAAAAGCTCACTTGAGCTTTCAGCTCAGGTGAGCTAAAAAAAAAAATTACGTAAATTTCAGATCCCCAAAAAATCGCAATATTGATTTTATGATTTATTATATTTTAATGCATTCATTTATATACATGCATTAATAAAATAAGTGACCTAAACTGTCTATTTATTCTTTTAAAAACACATCTTGAAGCCAAATTTATCATACACATTCAAATAAAATCAGATCTGCAAGAAAACAAATCAAAGTTAGTAAGTTGTTATACACTACTAAATAACAATAGCACCAGCAGCAACTTCAAATGGTTACAAATATTTCATATTGAAGCAAATCTATCACATTGCAATTGCATTAAAGAATGCATTAAATTTTATTATAAGGGAGATCTCTACATCTGTGACTTCACTACAATGTAATTCAGTATAATTATAATGAAAGATTAACATTTTTTTCTTTTGTAAAGTTTGAAAACTTGCAAAAAATTTTGAGATTATACTTTTGAATCAAAGTCCTAAACCATCCCACTTTTATTTTGTTTGTTTTTAATTTTTGTAAGTGTTCAAACTTCACAAAAAGTTTATATAATTTATTTCTGTTTAGTATAGTGATCCTTTGCATATTTTGAACAGAATATGTATACCAGTATATTCATATACTGAACATACTTGATTAATTGTTCCCTTTAAACAAAGAAATGCATAAAGCTTCATTGAGCCAAATAACTACACAATAATAATCAAACAGGGCCATTTTCTTCTAAATTTCACAACATTAATACATGTACTGTTAACATACTTTTTTCCACGGGGTCATAATTCCCTGGAATCTGAATTTCTCTCTATAATTTAGAAAATTATATGGATTTCTTGGATCACCACTGTATTTCTTCAATGCATTTTAAGAACGCTGTGACAATTTCCACAGAAAATTTGTGACCTTGTACATAGTATGAATTAGTCCCATATGGAAAAAAGTAAGTCTACAGTAAATGCTTTTATTTCTTGTCTTCTACAAATGGGTTTAAAGAGCATATCATAATAATTTGTGAGATGTTTACTTTATGCTTTATCTTTAATATGAATATCTTAATGCTAATTGAAATTATAAAAAAAAAAAGTCAACCACAAAAAAAATATATGAAAGTAAATAATACATATATAAGTTTTAATGAGATCCCAAGAGAATAGCCATTCAATGAGAAATACATGTATGTTTTGTGAAAATATTGAATTTGCTAGCAGGGCTTTTATGAGGGTTGTCTGGTAAAATCGTGGAGAAAGCGTATGTATCGAAAAATAATGGGCGCACTAAGCTGAAATTTTCAGCAAATGTTAACTAATCATATTTAAGAATATCTTAATATTTTTCGTAAATTATATTCAAAAATGTGGATTTTATTATACTTGAATGTGCACAGGGTATGGCGCATGACCAAAAAATCGGGGGTTTATCAGGGAATATTCGAGTATTAATTCAAAATAAAAGTATTAAATAGATGACATTGGGGTAAAAATTATCCTATTTTTAATCCACTATCTATTATGTCTTCCTTTGGAAAATTTCAAGGCATTTGCTTAATTTTAGGCAGTTTCCTCAGCATTTGAAATCGGAAAGTGGTAAACACAGCACATGAAAAATGGCGACATTTAATGACGTTACGGTGCACCAGAGAGCAATTTAGTTTGATTTAGAGGTAGTAATGACGCCCTTAGAGACTTTAAATAACTACAGAAGAAAAAAAAAATTGAAAAAAACAATAGAATTTTAGTATACAAGTGAAATGGGTGTTTTCTAAATGAATCTTTTTGATCAAGTCCCCGTGTAGAACAAAACATTCAGACAAACAGCTACTGGCAATAGCTAAAGACGCTGTCACTGTAGACATGTTGATAAAAGATAGCCTATTTAGTTGAATTAGGCTCAAGACCCCACTACCCAACCCCTTGCCGTTCTCTGCATACACATCATTTCAATTCTGGCTACGCGCCTGGAAATTTCCGAACTAAAGTGGGGCTTATCCAACCTTTCTTTTTTTAGCAAAGAGGAAACGTGACGCTGCTTCATACAATTTGACGTTATCATCAGTGCGCCAAAGGCGATACCACACATAACATAATATTTCATAATGTGTTTATTTATGCATATATCTATTTGAAATTTGCTATGTATATTGATGAAAAATGTACTAAAGTGTAGTGAAAAGCTTAGAATGCAGTGATGATTATTTTTCTCTCTAGACAACTTGTCCACGATTTTACCGAACAACCCTCGTATCTGTTCCTCATCACAGAATCTAAAACTAAATTTCTCTTAAGCATATAAAATCTAAATTTACTCAATCATAGCACTTCTGTTGAAAATATAATACACATACTTGCATCTGACATGGTATACAGATAAACATCAAACATTTTAAGCAATTCAAATCTTCAACCAAAAAAAAAAAAAGAGGCCCATTGGCACAATGCTCACTTGAGTAACTTTTTTCAATTTTATTCATCAGATTTATATATTCCCATGATAAATTGTGACCCATATTATGGCCCCTCATTAACTCTAAGGGATCTCTGAATGCACACAAGGGAATGCTTCAAGAACAATATGACTCACATGGCCTTGCAGCTATGGAAAAGAAAATTCTTTTCTTGTACACATGCATCATGTAAAATTTGACACTCATTTTAACCAACTCTAAATTGGCATCCATAATTTGAAGAAAAAAAATGAATCCACACAACTTGGAAATGTTTGAAAATAAACGGTTTTACTGTGGTTCTTGGGGAAAATTTTAATTTTATTTCTTATATTATCCAATGTACAACTTTGAACCCATATATATTGTGGCCCCATCCTACCCATGATTTGAACAATTTAGAATCTACAACACCTCAGGAAGCTTTCAAATAATTAAATTTTTTGATCACCCCACCCTATTTTTTCATTTTCTTGATTATATCCCCTTTGCAAGGGGCTTGACCCTTCATTTGAAAAATTTAGAATCCCCTTTACCCAAGGCTGGTTGAAATTGGCCCAGTCAGTGGTTCTTAAAAAGAATTCAAAAATGTGGAAAATTTACAGATGCACAGATTATGGACAAACGGTGATCAGAAAAGCTTACTTGAGCTAAAAAGGCAAGTTAAGACAAAATTCTTTCATCACAAACATTAGTCAATATTATTTCTGAGTTAATACAAGTTGACATAATTTATCTTATCAAGTAGTCTTTGCACCCAACATTAGATGAAGAATTCTAAATAACTTGTCTTTGTATACCTTTGCACGATTAGTCATCTAAAAAAGTGTCTTAAACAAAATACTCAAAATAGTGATCAAGCAATTTTACCAATATGTTCCTCAGGGCAGAATTCATTTAATTTAACAGTAAGGATAAAAGTTAACTAGAGATTCTTTATATTAATTCATTCCAGTGTTGTTAAATAAAAGAACATAAAAATGATCATCACCCTTGAATATTTGAAAGTTAAAAAAAATGGATTAACTAAATGCAAAAAACATAATTCTTGAATTGTCTATAAAAAAATGTTTGCATCATTCATCAACTATCATCATAATTATAATACAATGTATATTCTCAATCTATTTACCCTTTTTATCAGCAACTGAATATCAATTTATATAGACATAAAAGACACTTTACTCACAGCAACAGGAGAATCAGCAGACAAAGGAAATGCATGCTATGGTCCTCAGATGAGGTTATTTTGAGGACCTTAGGAGGACACTGAGAGGTCCTCTTTTAAGGACCCCAGGAGGTCCTCAACTAAATAAGTTTTTAATCTCACAAACACAGGAGATCCTCCATAGATGATGATTTAGAGAATTCTTCCAAGCACCTGTTATTGTTCATGTATTGTGTAACACTTTCATCTATATCTTCTTGTATGAGATCTGTTCTTAATCCCTTTATGCCTTTACTTCTGTTTACTGCTAGCCTGTAAATTCATACACATTATTCAGTATTACACTGAGCCTAAATTAACATTAGAGAATTTCTATCATTTGCTTCATTCAACTCACAATCACTGTGAGTATATTTGGGCACCTAAGTGTTTTTGTTAGATATTGAATGCAAAATCACTAGTCTTTTCGGGAGACAAAATATTCAACCAGTGCTCCAAGTGCAACTTTTTCTCAATGAAGTATTCATATAATTTCACAATTCTCAATTCTGTTTTTCCTCATTATTTACCTATAGAAATTAACAGATTATCTAAGGAAACTAAACATGGAAAATTTATTTTTCCTTTGTGTATGTAACTATTTTTTATGTGTTACATTGTATGCATATAATCATTGATACCTCATATGACATGGGAAACCCAATGCCTTGTATGAAAAAAAATGAAATAAAATCATTATAAATTAGAACAGCAGTTAGAAAAAAATTAAACTTACATTGAAAAACAATCTTCTTCATCCAAATTCTCATCTTCAAAACTTTGCTGGAAAATTGAAAATTTATGAAATAATATTTCATTTATTATATACAGTAACTCCTCAGAATTCTCAATAATTCTAAAATATCATATAATTTCCTACGTGAACTTTGTACATACAATGTTGGTAGAGACTAATAATTTTTTATTTTTTGTTATTCACTTTTCTTTCTGACTTTCCTTATCATGAAATTAAAAAAATATTTTTCAAATGTTGTTTGATGTGAATTAGTGTAAAATTGTTTCCTGATTTCCATTTCAATTTGGCAATGTATTTTGTTATTTATACGTGTACATGTGTACATACTTAAAACAATGCTGATGCTGATAATTGTTAAATTTTATTCATTATTTTATTCATTATTCAGACATTCCTATGTATATTCACTTAACTGTAATAAGATAATTATATAATTCCTCTTTATTTTATTTAATTTTAGTTTATTTTTTTTTTTTTTGGCTATTAAAATAAAAGCAAACATGAACATATTACGTAACTTATTTGACTAGGGATCTGGCCAATTTACCTGTGATTAGCTTCCAGTAAAGTGAATTACTGAATTCTGCCTAACTACAATTTGGTACACAAAAAACTCACCCATTTTTGACTTCTTTGTGACTTGTTACTCAAGATTTCCTGACTAGACTTGGGACTAGAGAGTTTTGGGATTGGTTGATCTATAAAAAATGTCAGAGGCAAAAAAAGGCATTATTTTAAATCATATTTGCAATTATTTCAAAATTAAAGCTGATCAGCAGGCTAATTAACAGTCTATAATACTATTGTCTTCAGTAATTACACATTATCCCGTACCCACAATAAAACTAATAATACATGTATACATTATGTACACTAATAATATACATAATGTACTCTAGATGCATTCTGTAAGTTATCTGTGTGTGTACAGTATAAATTAAATATTAGTAATATTTACATTAGATACATTAGATTATATAATTTCATTAGAAGGCAGTTTTACTCCAAAACATTTATCTGTATGTAAATATTGCATTGTACTTAATTTTTAATTGGGACATTGTAAAAAATAGTAAATTCTAGTTTCATATTAATGCCAAAAAAGTCATGAAGAGTTGCCTTTAATGAAAAATAATTAAAAATGTGCATTTTTATCACTAACATTGATTCTCTGACAAATTCTATGTAAGAATAGGGTAATTAGAAGTTCTTACCAACAGATAATTTATTTTCTGAGTTTTTAACATTATTTGCCCGTGTTTCTGTCTTCTCTAGACCTCCGCTCTACAAACAAATAAGACATATAGTTTATTATATATATATATATATATATATATATATATATATATATATATATATATATATATATATATATATATGATTACAAGTACCTTCAACAATCAGTGGCGAGTATATTCCTTTCTGCTGATGTTTAGGCTAGCGTGAAGTCACAAATTTAACCTGAGGCGCAAAGTGTGGGTAGGCAAGGAACCCCCTCTCGATAGTTATTTGGGGGGGGGGGGGGGGGGGGGGAGTCAAAGGGAGCATTTTTGCAAATTCGAAGACATTTTAATTTGACCAGTGAAAATGATATTGTAAACATATTTTCAGTTTATATCATGGTATGAAGACCACTTAACAAAATTGAGAACTCTTAAAATCCTTTTACTCTGATTTGCTTAAAAAATATGGAAACTTCCTTAATGAATAATCCAAATACGAACAATACGTTTAATTTCCTGCTAACCAAAAATATTTCCAGTTATCAATTTCACTTCCTGCACTAATCCTGTTGCTGTCGATGGTTCTGAAATTGTCTGATAAGACTTAATATAACACTTGAATTTGGGCTGAAAAAAGCATTTTTACATTTACATTGGATAGGTATAAAAGTGCGAATTGCTAAGAATTCTTTTTTGGTATTTGTAGGCTACAGCCTTTTTGCCTATATATGGAATATACGCCACTGACAATACTAATTAAGCAGTAAAGGACCAATGTTTAAAGAGACATTTTACAATCATAAATAAGAGTTGTTGTGTAGGCAATAACAAGATGAAATTTTGCTAAAAATACTATATGTAACATTAAATTTATCTCATGTAACATAATACTGATATACTTACTATTTCTTTTTTAGGACTAGCACTGACTTCAATGTTGTGTAAATCTGTAGCCAATTCAAATGCCTTAGACACTGTGAGAGTTACAGCTTGTGCCTGCCATGATTAAGAGAGGAAGTCATAAATCATAAATCTGAATTTAATGAACCTTTTATTTTGCTATTTTTCCTCCTCCATTTCATCTCATTCTCCTTTAAAAAAAAAGCAGGAAAAGTTTTTGAAATCTTAGTTACTTTCATCCTGTGTTTTCCCTGGGAATAGTTACCTTTTGTTTCTGAACTTTGAATATATTATGGGTTTTATTTTAAATTTGTAGCAAAATGATAATTAAGGTAACTAGTTTTCAATTCATTGAACAATGTACATGTACTAAGAGCCATAAATCTCCTAAAACAGACCAACCAAAATTTTCTCTCTCAATTTCCTTCTCCCATGACATTTATGAAATGTTATAATTATATATAATTTCCCTTTTCACACTGAGATCCTGAGGTTTAGATTTTGCAATTTTCAGAAGTCCCACGATTTTTGCTGAGAACAGAAAATGAACTTGTTTACTCCATGTTTTTTCCCTATAGAAATAGATACAAGGTTACTGATCACTTTAAGGGAAGGTCCATATCACAGTTCAAGCTAAAATGTCTCCTTACATTTATTCTATAAATTTCTATCAAAATTTCTATAAGAGTGTGAAGTTAAAATGCAAAAATTAATTTTTCGAACCTTTCTTGATACATGGGGTATGTATCTCTCAGAGTATATAAAAAGCTGCCACCCTTTTATTAACTTTATGTCAGATAGTCTGTGTACATGCATGTAGGGAATTTATAAACCATAGACTTGATGGGTAAGTGCCAGGGACAAATGATTTTACTTTCTTATAACCATAATTAATTACATCTGTTAACTTCAAAATATATTTTAAAGCCACTGGGAATGAATATCACTTTGCTGTAATGAATTGTAAATTAACATAAGGGACAATTCATTATAAGCATGTTCAATATAAGCATGTTTTACTGTACATATATGTAAATGGCAACTACATGTAAATTGTGCATATATATCCATGTAAGAATATGCTAGGTAGTTAACACTGAATTCATCTATAAATGTGCACCTGCAGTTTGCACACATATAATATCCAGAAATGTTCACTTACAATTTTGGGTTTATCACAGAGATAAGCATGACACTCCATAGTCTCATTCACAGAATTTCTGGCCATGAAAGCAAATACTTTGTCAAAGTTTTTATCAGCTGAACAGAAGGAAATCCTGAAAAATTATAAAGTTTTTGTTAAAAAACATTCTATGCAAAGAAGATACCATATCAATATTTAGTGGACATCTTGAGCATAAAATATTATTTACAAAAACCAAACACAATGCATCACAAACTTGAGGCTATTTAGACACATTATTTGGATTGAACAAAGAAGGTACAGAAAAGAAAGAAGTTTCAGAATATGTGTAAAGGGTAATTAAGGTGATGTTGATACCAATTAGTTCCTTTACTACTAAAACATCCAAAAAACATTTATAGATTTAATCAGAATGAGAAGATCAGAAGAAGCATTAGTATAACAACTTGGGCACTGCAAAGCGGAGCATCTCCTCACAAAAGAGTGTATTGATCCCGATATAAATTATTACTTGTGTAACACATGTACTTTTTCACCTACTAACCAACACACACCCAAGTGTGTTACTATACCCCCTCCAACTTGTGAAGGAATAATAAACCTTATTAAATTATCCGACTTTTTTTAGCACGTTTAGTGCCTGGAATTAATTAAGGATTAGAAAATTTGCCATCATAGAGATGGGTTCTGTACTATAATCATGTGCAACTACTAATTCATGTATATTGGTTACATTACTCCTCATCATGTTTGTAAATAGATATATTTGTTAATCTCTGTGCATGAATGTTTTTATTTTTTTTTGGGGGGGGGGGGGCTCTTTTTGTTTCTATCTGATACATTAATCTTCTCTGTGTACTTTGCCATAAGGCACAAGGATAAAAAAAATGAAATATGAGAATAAACAGTCTGTCAAGATAAGGAAGTATGAAGATCTCTCAGACAGGGAGTATCAAACTTCTGTGATGTTGTCTCCCAAGTACACATTAAGAGATTTTTAATGAGTGAAAATATTGTACTTACATTGTGAAAATAACATTTAGATAAAATATATTTCTCACAAATCGAGAGTTGGTACCAAGTAATGTTATGTTACTTTGCAACAAGATTTCAAGTCCTTTTATGTAAATCTCTCAGCTACATATTAGAGGAAAGATGCTTTATGATTTCCTTCAAACATCTGATTATCTGATTCTTTTTTGATTATGCACAAATTCTTGACATTTGAGGACTGAGAAATTAGGAAATTCCAAATGCTTCAAACACTTATTTCTCAAGTTCTTTTTAGAATTCAACAGGAGATGTAAAACATCTCTATAAATAAATACATCATATATGATTAAAACAAAGGATTCAAAATAAGAATATTTAGTGGTGTGTTTCATTTAAAATTCTTCTACAAAGAACTCTCAGTTTCTCAGATACACTCTTTAGCATAATTTAAGTCCACACTTCATGTACAATAGAGATTTTTGTGCAAATGCACTTGGTATTTTAAGTGACATGAAATTATGTTAAGTAGAAAAGGCGAACAAGTTGGAGATAACAGCTAAATGCACGTACATATATATATATAAATAATAAAAAAAGATTACTCTAGTCTTTGGATTCATATAGATGGAAACTGAAATTTGTTTTTTAACTTTTCAAAAGAAGTTCAATTTCACAATCTTAATTTTTTTATTGTCAATTTATGAAATTATTATCATTTTATGGACAAATAAAACTGTAAACAACTGGAAAACAAATAAAGGTCTCTCTTTCCAATGAAAATCATCATATGATTTAATGCTGTATTCTATCTACATGAATAGACTCATCTTAAGACAGATTACTTATTCATGCTGCCTGACCAGTAATGTAAGTATTACTGGTGTAAAGTAATGAGTCATAGAATCACAGACAGACAGCAACCACTTTAATTTTGCTACAATGACAGACTACGATAAGATGTCTCTTCTCCAAGGACACAACACTCACTGACCATGGTGGGGTTATGTCACTCTAAAACTGATTAACTGTCAGATATATATTTGATTTCCCTAGGCAGAAACAAGTTTAGAAAAGCTTTCCCTGACACTGACATTATGGTCAGCTAACCTGTATATTGAGATTTCCTCAATCAGCTGGTTGTTTGCCATATCAGTTATCTGGATCCCCTTTGGAGAAGCTGTCAATGCAACCCTTTTTAATTTCTTCCCAGATGATTTTGCCTGTAACGAAACAGGTATTTTCTTTGTAATAATCATTTTTTCTGGTAATCATAATTTTTCATCATCATCATTAAAAACCCAATGTTATTGTTTTACTCATATCAATAGCTTAATAGGAATAAATGTTACCATAGCGATGATGCTTTGTAATGCCTTGGTGATGACACCGTCACCATAACTCTGACTCTCCTCTGCCTCCTCCACAAGGGTGGATCCAAGATATTTCATGTAAAAGGTGATTCCATCTCGAACAGCCTCTTTGTTTTCATTCCAACCTTCTCCTAATTCTGAAAGTTTTACATTTCGTACAATTTACTTGCATGATTAATATGTAAGTTGTAAAGTCAGCTTGAAATACTGTTTTTTTTTTTCGAGTTAAGACTTACTAGAATAACTAGAATATTATGTAATACAAAGGTATATGTGAATATACAAATGTACAATGTTTGTAATTAAGAAATACCTATTCCATCTCTGTAAGCAAACAGGGCCTTCAGAACATAGTAAAATGAACAAAAATTTTTAAAAAGCACAGCTTAGATTCACCACTTTGAAAGTCCTAAATCAACACCGAACAAATCATAAATGAATGCCCGGTGAACAATGATTAAACCCTGAAGGAATGGCATGAGAATATGAAAGCAGAATGGAGAATAAGAAATTGGTAAGTACATTAAAAAAATTCTTCATTCACTCAAAACCAAATCATGTTTACAAAAACATGAATGGCAGTAAAACATTCAGGAATTCTCATTTTGTTTTATGTCTACAAAAGAGTTAAATCTAAATTGACTGCACTGTTGACATATTTGTTTTTTTTTTATATATCAAAATAACATTTGCAATTGTATTGTACATAATATTCTGTCACAGTGAAAATCTAAAAGAATTGCAAATTCTTCCCCTTCCAACTTCTTTGCAGGAAGAAAAGGGAAATCTAGGAATTCTTTTCTGTGACTGAAAATAAAGTATTTATTCAAATCCATACAACCTGTAGAAATATCTCATTGTTAATCACATAATAATAGCAAATTTTGACACTTTTTATATCAATCTCAAGTATTATTGATTGAAACCACTTGAATTGTGTGAATATAAAAAATTCTAACATTTTCTGGTTCCCCAAACCTAATCACCATAGGTGACTAGTCAATGTATGAAAAAAAACTGCAGGGGGAAAAAGGGAGGGGCTTATCTAGCTGCATTATGAATTATGATCAGAAAATGACATCGAAGTATGAAAACTGACTCGATCTTTCAATGTTAAAGTACTTATTGTCTAAGACAAAAGAAATGCGATTTCAAAAGAACCACAAACATCACCTGATCATATGATAACTCCAACTTACTCTCATGTTTGCTTTCCTTTGTAGTATTTGGACTGCGTCTCATGGCCTTCCTGAGTTTCTCCATGTTCTCCGCTTAAACAGCAGGTTTGTTAAGAATATGTTTCCATTCAAAAATTTGTCCTCAAATTAAATATAACAAAAAATATACACTTTTCCTCTGCTTTTACTGCAGTTCAACACCGTCGCGACCCAAATGACACATAATCCGAGTGATTTACAAGCTTGCATCTACGTACAGGTGTGTTAATTGTAAAGAGTAGTTAAGACGCTAACAAATTACGTGATTTCCGATCCCGATAAAAATTTTCTTCTTTTTTCCATGCAAAATATATCAATGCTCCACCTTTAGAGATTTTTTGAAACAGATTTAATATTTTTTACGTCTAATATGTTTTGAATAAAACAATTAATTTAAAATAGCTCTCAACCCATTTTACTAGCTACATGTAGTTAGAGTCACAGTTATTTGCTTTCATCAGTGACATTTTATATGTCTGCTTTCATCCTTCAACACGCCCCCCCCCCCCCCCCCCGGAGGCCAATACACCCCGAAGTTAACAAATATATCAGGCTGTTACGAAGCGTTGCGTTTTTATTCAATGTGTGAATGAAAGAAAAACTTATGTTTTTTTTTCAGTTTTCTTTGTAACATCGTGTCACCTGACGTTCTAGAAATTCACAGTAAGACTAAGATCGGGGACTTAGGAAAACGATTTGCGCATTTTGTTTTCTAAACAGCTAACACAATTTATTTCTTCACTATCACTTAAATCATGTTTTGATTGAATAATTTACTTATGATGTTTCATCAAATAATTAATCGACTGCTTGTTGTTAGTTTTACTATCTAAATATTTGTGTGATACTTGATTTCTTTATACCTTGTACTTTCTTGTTAATCCTTTTATTTTGTTCTATCTTTGTACAGTATGTATTTTTTATTGTTAAAAATTATAGTCGGTTGGAATCAGACCTTCGGTGCTTATACATGATGATACATCCCAAACTCATGTAAAAGTTTATTCCATGCTAATTCCATATAAAAGCTGAAAAAATGTTACTCGTGTTTGTGTTTTGAGGTTTTTATGAATCTTGCATGGTTCAACAATAAGGGTTGGCCCAGAATAAGTACCAGTAATAATTTTATATAAAAGTACATAAATTATAAGGATCGAGTGTTGGTGTCTTTGAGATTTTATGAATCAGGGTTCAAAAATAAGAGGAAAACTCACGGTTGACCCAGAATCAGTATAAGATGGACAAATGCACCCCGTATTACTTACCTCTCAAATGTCCAAAAAGATGCTGTAAATCGGCATTATTAACTATTTTGAAAAGTAGGTCAAATGTCAAGTTGAAGGGCCATGAGGTCGGTGACCATGGTATTTTACAAAAGCTTTCGTGCCAAACAATACATGACCAAATATGTGACAGACGGACGGACGTACGGACAGACAATATATACTTACAGTTCACTTTCTAAGGATGAAATTCACCAGATGTTTCAAAACATCAAAACGTAGAACTTTTCTACAATTTATACAATTATAATAAAATTATACCATAGACGACTGCTTTTTTTTTTAATAAAAACGGAACTCGGAAATTTTCATTACTTTTGCCTGGTCTTCAACAAAATAACTCTGTTAAAAATCCCTCTGATTCTACTGGCATGCAGGTACTCTGAAATTGATATTAAAAGGATGCTAGAGTTTCTCGATCATTGACAAGATTTATGTCGTCTTTGGAGACCAGGTTCTCCAAAAAACCGTTGGAATTTCCATGGTCACTTACTGTGCTCTTTATTATTCGACCTGTTTTTATATTCCCATGAACAGAATTTACCCAAAAACTCAGCATGAAAAGAAAACACTTGCCTTGGCCTTCAACTAAACATTCAGATGCATCGATTACGTGTTTTCAATTAACAATACTGTAGTTACTTCCTTTCCTATGTCGACTCGGATATGATTTCAGCTTTTCCATCGTCAACATTTCTTATTTATGTAGAAATATACCGATATCACCTGCAATGTTGCTAACGTCTCCGTACTTTTTCTATACTCAAGAGCATGTTCTGAGTACGATCAATTTTTAAACCGAGACAGGCTACTAACAATAAGTTGATGTTACAGGAATTTCAACAACCTCGTCAGCATTTCGTAAATTCCATGGTCTTATATATATAATTACCTTGTTAGCAAAAAGAGTCTATCATTAAGTTGTATTTTGGACGACTGTTTCATACCAATTGTTAGGCCTTTGTTTTTAAAATAAATTTGTCTACGGAATATTCCGTCTACCTGATCAATATTTAGGGCTCAAAGCGGATGTGAGCACTCGATAGGGGATGCTTATTCCTCATAGGCACCTGATCCCACCACGGGAATTTCCAGAGGTCCGTATTTTATGTCCTGTTCACAGATTTGCACTGTTTGTAGATTTTTTTTTTGAGATTGTTCACTGTTCCTTATTTACACTTGTTTATTTATATTATCATTAACTGAGACAGAGGAAAAGAACCCGATCGTAAGCGCTGCAATACTTAAAAAAAAACGGAACATCCATTTGGGGGGGGGGATTAAATACACAATTATTTTTAAAAACATTCTGATTGTACAAGTACTCTGAAGTTGATAATTAAAAAGATGCTTGAGTTTCTGATTGACAATATTTTAATTTGTCGTTTTTGGAGGTCAGGTGTTCCAACAATCTGTTGGAATTTCCATGGGTACCAATTGCGCCCCCTTATTATCAACCTATTTTTGTATTCATATGAAGCAGATTTTATTTAAAAAAAAAACTTCTACATGAGAAGTGGAAAACATTTGTTGTGGCCTTAAACTCGACATTTAAATATATTGACAATATTTTCAATAAACAGTAGTTACTTCCATTCATATGTCGATTCGATATATCCCAATGAGCTTGAAATAAAAGATACCACAGAGTCTGATACTTCTGTTTTATATTTGGATATTTTACTAGAAAAAGACGTTAATGGTAACCTAACAATAAAACTTTATGATAAACGTGATGACTTCAATATTTTAATAGTCAATTTCCCTTACTTATGTATCAATATACCCTTATCCCCTGCTTATTGGATTTTTGTCTCCCAGTTGATTCGATACGCAAGATCACTCAACGTATAAACTATTTCTAAAACGAGGCAAGCTATTGTTGATGAAATACGGATATCTACAGTCCAGTATGAAGTCATCATTTCGCAAGTTTTATGGTCGATACAATGACCTTGTCAGCAAATACAACCTAATCATTAAGTCAAATGTTGACGCACTTTTTTCATACTAATTGTTAGGCCATTAATTACACACTGAATTGTCTTCGGATTTTCCCGTTTTTCCCCGATTATGACAAGGAGCACACGACGGGTGTGACCGGTCGGCATGGAATGCTCACTCCTTTATGGCACCTGATCCCACCTCTGATGTTTTTGGAGGTCCGTGTTTGCTCTGCTCCCCATTTGTATTTTAAATGGACTTTGAGCTTGAATACTTTTCGTTATATCCAAATTTCATGTATGGTATAATTATGTACTTTAAAAATAAGGACAGCTTCAACTTTATGTAGTCGATAATTTAACTGTTGAATTATTTTCATCTCCTTTCCGGACCAAAATCCCAGCCCGATCTGATGGAAATCTTAAATTGCACGTTCGTTTAATAATTTTTTTTCTAACATTTGGGTTTACAAAAGTTTGCTTTTGTTCACAAAAAACTAAAAACTTCACAAATATGTTCTTGCTTCTTTTTTCTAAGTGATGCCAAGGTTTCCTGGAAATGACTAAACTTGCATGCCAATTGTTCTAGCGTGAAATTCTCAAAATGAAGTTGAAAGTGTGATGCAGATGCAAAGATGCAATCTGTAATGCCTCTACATGAGCATATGTCTCACTATAGCCTGACTGATATTCCTTGGACTGGTAATGCCTCTACATGAGCATATGTCTCACTATAGCCTGCATGACTGATATTCCTTGGACTGGTAATGCCTCTACATGAGCATATGTCTCACTATAGCCTGACTGATATTCCTTGGACTGGTAATGTCTCTACATGAGCATATGTCTCACTATAGCCTGACTGATATTCCTTGGACTGGTAATGCCTCTACATGAGCATATGTCTCACTATAGCCTGACTGATATTCCTTGGACTGGTAATGCCTCTACATGAGCATATGTCTCACTAGCCTGACTGATATTCCTTGGACGGATAATGCCTCTACATGAGCATATGTCTCACTATAGCCTGACTGATATTCCTTGGACTGGTAATGCCTCTACATGAGCATATGTCTCACTAGCCTGACTGTTATTCCTTGGACTGGTAATGCCTCTACATGAGCATATGTCTCATTAGCCTGACTGATATTCCTTGGACTGGTAATGCCCCTACATGAGCATATGTCTCACTATAGCCTGACTGATATTCCTTGGACTGGTAATGCCTCTACATGAGCATATGTCTCACTAGCCTGACTGATATTCCTTGGACGGATAATGCCTCTACATGAGCATATGTCTCACTATAGCCTGACTGATATTCCTTGGAATGGTAGACAAATGGTTACTACGCCAGGATCGAAGAATTCAACTTCAGCTTCTGAGAAACAGGCACTTCTAAACACTGGAAGAATAATTCTTTGGCTAAAAATCAGGTGACTGATGAAGAATCCGAGCAGCAACTTTTATGCATGGTGGACATACCTGCTATAATTCGATTTTTAATTTCTTAAGTTAAAAGATAACAATACAGGCTTCAAGCAAATCTCCAATGATTCAATCAAGTTGATTTTTTGCTACTGATAAAACCTGTGTTAAATTATAAACATCGTTAGATTAAATTATTAAGATTTTTATACTTACTGCTTGTTGCGTGACTTTTGCGAATAAGTATAATTTAAGATACTTATATTTTCAATTTGGAAATCAGCGCATATAAGTTTTTCTACCTATATTGCATATTGACTTTAATAAACTACATTTTACCATCATTATCTTGCATGTAAATTTAATAAAATAACACCTAATGAATAAGATTTCACATTGATTTTATGGAAAAAAGGAGTGATAGAAAAAACAACAAAACAAAATAACCCCGTGGAATGCTATTCAAGACGTAATTATTCTAGTATAACTGTACGCTAAGTTTCCACTAGCTCTTCAAATCTCGAGAAATACCCACAGTCATTTGCACTCGCTGATAGGACGATAATTTTCATTCCATTTTTAAATAATTGACACTTCGTGAGAAAATGCTTGACAATTAAATTCAACATCCGGCTGCAACCTACATCTCTTAATTAGATTGGAATATATAGGAAAAGTGAACTAAAAATAGTAAATTTAAGCTGAGTAAGAAATGGATTAAAAAGTGTAAAATCATTCTATTGTATACTTCAAAAGAGTGAAAAGATATATCCGGTATTCATTATATAGCAAACTTAAAAGCATAATTTGTGAAACACTCGTCTGTAATCGCAGTTCACATTGATTCTGGTGATAAATAAAATTTTATCTTTTTGGGAAAAAAACTTTCACTAACAGAGGTCCAAGTGAAAGAAATATTATATGTTTATGGATCATTGAAATATATTTAACTCGAATGATTTTTTTCCATAAAATAAAAGCATGTGAATATTTCCTTTTTAATCAAAATTTATCATACATTTTTTTTGAAAATATTTTAAGAATGGAAATAAAATGGTATACATATCTTGGTTTTATAAAAAAATGTATGATAAATTTTTATTGAGAAGAAATTATTCCTTTTTAGACGATCAAATAACATATCCTCTTGGACTGCTGGTCAATGACATTGGCTATCGATCATGAATCTTAAGTCCTCAACCACCAATCAAAGTACAATGACTATGGTACTTTAAACGAAATTAGCTTAACCAGGAAATATACATTTCGTAATGAACGAAATTATGTGAAAAGGAAATTATTCATGGACACAGTCTAATTTATATTTATCTCACTTTGAAATAAGTATTTTTAAAATTAAAATGAATTTCACATTTCGATTTTAGTGACTACAAGTAATATGAAGTATTTTACAGTTTTATTCTTCTGTTGCTTTACCACAAATAGCTTTATCTGTGCTAGAAGTAAAAAAAGATGCCCGCATTCTTCAACAAAAGATTGTGATGTTCTTGTGGACTGTTCGCGTAAAAAACTAACGGAGATTCCAAAGTTTGTGACAAACGTCACTTGCATTTTTCTGAGAGAAAACAAAATTAGTCTAATAGCATATAGTTCTTTTCAAGGCCTGCATAGATTACACACTCTTGATTTATCTGGGAATATACTAAAGACGATTCACGAAGGAGCGTTTGGAGGTTTAAAAATGCTACAGTATCTTGATATTTCATACAACAACAATCTTGGATTTGCTGTTCTCCCTAATGTAACGCACAATTTGAATAAAACCAATATCAAAGTATTGAAATTTGACCAGATCACCTGTATGGGAGGGAGAGGCACCGTTCTACGTCAGCATCATTTGCATAATCTGAAAAATACGTCACTAGAGGAGCTCAGTACATCTAGCAATAGGATAGATTTGTTTGAACCATGTGTGCTATCTCATCTACCAAAGACCATGAAGAAAATGTCCTTTGCAGCCAACCGTTTTAGTGCAGGGATGTATGCTTTCGAGTTCCACACCCTGGAAAACGTGCAAGTAATCAATGCAAGTCTAAGGAACCGTCCTCCTCATTTTTATGAATCAGTGTCGAGCTGTAGGGAAAATTTCGACAAAGAAGAATTTACTCCTCTTAGAAAGACTTGCCTGCAAAGTGTGAAGTCAAATACTAAACCATCACACCACTTTAATGTAACATATTCTGTTCCACCAAATCTGCACACTTTATACCTCAACTCTAGCAGAATTTTCTTTAGAGCTACCGCCTTTGGTATTCATGAAAACAAGATTCGACGATTATTCCTACAGGATAATATCATTTACCAGTTTATCGGACCTCTATTCGGAGTAGAAAATATTACAGAGATTGACTTGTCAAGGAACTTTTGTTACAAAATGACTAAGTCATTTACTCATAGTTTGCCTAAATTGCGCATACTTAAACTTAAACAAAATAATCTCGGAGAAACATTTAAAAGCGATATTTCGGGTTCCATTTTTGAAAAACAAAGCAAACTATACTATCTTGATATATCGTATAATAGAATCCATGGACTATCTTTTTTATTTTTGAAAAATCTGGTCAGTCTCTCGTTGCTTGACATTTCAAACAATCAGATTTCGGAATGGAACGTGAAAATGTCTCATATGATGAATCTATCGTATCTAGATTTATCTAATAATAGGTTAGGGGCGATCTCAAAAAATGGAATGAAAGAAATTACACAACTCTTTGGGGACTCAAACTTGACAATCAACCTGAAAGGTAATAGATTGATTTGTTCTTGCGACACAATAGATTTCTTGAGATGGTTCTCCAAATATAGAGAACATTTCAGAAATTATTCTTCATATTCCTGTTCTAAAACACACAAGGATTTGTTCTCCTTTAAGGATCTTGAAAAATCCCTAATTAGGCTTCAATCCGAATGCCAGTCGAACACGTTTTATTATGTTTTAGGCTCTACAACATTGTCTTTACTTTTGAGTTTTGTCATTAGTGTGAGTATTTATAAAAATCGTTGGAAAATCCGTTACCTCAGATACACAGCAAAACAGAGATTCTGCAATAGATATATAAGACTAAACAATAAAACTGATGACCCATTCATGTACGACGCTTTTGTATCATATGCCAGCAAAGATAGAGAATTTGTGACGAAAGAAATGATTAAACACTTGGAACAAATCAATGGATTTCGGCTTCTTATCCGTGATAGATCATTTGTGCCAGGGGATTCAAAATCTCACCAGATAGTACGATCTATTCAGGAAAGTAAGAGGACCATATGCGTAGTTTCGAAACGTTTTTTGAAATCCAGTTGGAGGGAATATGAGCTGAACATGGCAAGGGTGGAAGGAATAGAGGCAAGGAAAACACTCAGATACGTCATTTTAATCCTTCTTCCTGAGGTTCAGAATAGTGACTATCTAAAAAAGATTTCGGATTTTTTGAAGAAAAATTGTTTCATTGAATATCCAGACGACCCAGCGGGCTACAAAGAATTCTGGCAAAATCTGTGTGACAATTTAAGAGAAAATATTGAAACCTGACAAGAAATAAGATTTAAGACCATTGTTGTAAAGAAGATGGATGATTCTATACTTTGATGTTGCACTGCATGCAGAATGTTCCATTCTCAAAGCAATTTTTCAATTATTAAAAAAGTAATATCAGCTTCTCATCAAAGGACCATGTAGATATGTCTGAGTTATTTATTCACAATGAGAATCAAAATTCGAGAAAAGAAATGACTCTTTAGATTCTAAATTTAAAATGATTTTTCATGCTCATATTTTTAGAAATAAAAAGGTTTTCCTTTTACATGTCCATTTTGAAGGTATTTCCTTTAGTATGATGAAGTGGCACAACAAGGAAAAAGTAAACTTAAAAAAACCCATGCAAACAATCATATGCCAATATTTGTAAAGTTTATATTTTAATTGTATGTAAATTCATTACAGCATTTAAGCAAGTATAATGACGACATACAGCACACGCAATGTGTAAAATAGCAACTAAATGAGGCTGAAGTCGTAAATGTACATGTGGATGACATAACGAACAGATACGTTTAATAGTATATTTGGAAGGACCAGACAATTCAGGAACTTCTGAGTAATCCATTGGTATACAAATTCTATATATAAAACAATATCGAGTAAAATGGCATAAATAAGATGTGAAGATATTTCCAGAACAAAGTAAAGTTAAAATCCTTTCATTATTTGATTGTATATAAAGAATGTACCAGGTATGTCGAAACTTGAAATAAGTTGAAAAGGCCGTAAAACCTGAAATTATTTTGAAGAACTAAATTCTTTTCTTCGAGAATGAACGACATCATCACTTCTGAAACTGATCTAGCGACTTGATCTCCTCACAAAGAAAGTGACCAAGCCTCAACAGAAAGGAAGTGAATACGAGGCTACACGTGCTTTGGCTGGATGTAAAATAATCAATGAAATTTAAGTTTGTTGTATTAGTACTTCAGTATGAACTACACGGATTATAACTGTCAACCATTATTGTAAAAAAAGTGATTTAATAGAAGATTGTTGATTCCTTCATAATTATTGCAGAAATCTACCATCTTTGAAGCCTATAAATTAAGTGGTTTGTAAATCATCTACTTCAGCTGCTTCTTACAGCCTTCGCAAAGACGAAGGTCTACAGTGTATCTGGAACATATTGGATTGCATTTTGTCTGGCGTGTTTGATACCATTTGTTATAGGCCATTACTTTTACAATTTGATTGCGGGGTATTCCGTATACGTGATCAAAACCATTTAGCTTACTGCGGGTGTGATCTGACAGGCACCGGAGCCCACCTCTGGTTTTCCAGGGGAACATGTTTTTGCCCTATTCACTATTCTTTTTGTTTATTATATTTTTATGAAATTGAGCACAGTTTGTTATATATCTTCACATTTTACGTGTACATGTGTGTAATTCATTTAATGAAAAGGGATCTCTATTGAACATGGTTGGACTGATATTGACTTCATTTTACTAAATACTTTTATACAGTGCATGATTTTTATGAAAGAAAATGAAAGAGATTTATTCTAAACGTGATTTGTACGGAAGTGAAATAAAAAGAATAACACGTTTGTATCGGTCTAATGCTTGAATTGATTACAGTTTATTTTATTTTAGTAAGATCACTCTAACTGCATAAAAATCCGTATTATTAGAATTCTTTAATGTTCAGTACATAGACAGTTATTAAACTTACGTCTACTTGTTCATTTTCTTAAGCATGTGCACTGGACATCCGAATCTCTTGAACACAAGATCAATTTCAGCTAGGAATAAGATGCACTGAGTACACGATATCCTCCGTAAGCCTTCTTTATCTTTTTAAATTGTAGTTGTGCCAATTTTATTTTTTTTTGTAATTGGCAAAATCTTTATAAGGGTTCAAAGATCCGATATAAAATAAGCTTATCAGTACTTCTTAGCATTCTTGTTACAACGCACTTTGAAAAATTACGCACTTTGAAAAAATTTCTCAAAGTGCGTTAATTTTGGGACCACGTTAACGCACTTTGAAAAAAAAATATTTCTTTTCAAAGTGCGTTAATATCGACCATATTAACGCACTTTGAAAAAAAATGTGCATGGCTTGGTCAATATGCTTGCAAATTTTAGGTATGATAAATAATTATTTGAACCTGGTTGGATAACTTTTCGGTGATGACGTCGGGATCTGAGATATAGACGTTTTAAAGATTTTTAGGAGTTGTCTTGTTTCCAAAGGTTCTCGTAACTGTTATAAAAGGGAAATGGGTCTTAGAAATAATGTAGGAATGATTGTTTAATAGCACAGTTTCGTTTCTTTTTTTCCTCCAGTCTCTAATAAGCTTGGTAGATGTAGGTGTCAATAAGTGACTAAAAGCATCGCATTTTTCTTAGGGAAAAGGGAGCATTTATGTTTTTTCCATACCATTAAAATTCTTTCTCTCTCTCTCATTAATTTTTCTATCATATTCATCTAACTATCTTTTGTGAACATATCTGAAACAATGGTTGACTCATTTATTTGATAGTATGAAAATAAACCTTAGCCACATTACTCACTCGACTGAAATTTTTACCTTGTTCACTAATAACTTTTTCTCATTACTTTTTCTTATTGACCTCAGTATTACTTCTAAATCTGTAATTTGATATCATAAAAACGCTAGACATGTCAAATAGCATGTTTTAATTACCATGTAAATGCATTTTTTCTGAGGAATCATTGTGGATACATTTTGAATAAAGGTTATGCGGCTCTCTTCTTTAATATAATAGGGTGCGTAATTTTTTTTTTTTCAGGAAAGCTTATCTCAATTTTTTCATCTATTTTACGTTAACTCAAATTTATTGAGAGAAATAATATCAATGTCATACCAGTTACGTAAATACATATATTTATGTAGGAAAGATAGAGAGTTGGGCTGAGGGACTCTCTACCTGTCTTCTCCTGGTTCTCGATGAGGGTAGATCAATTCATCAGTTTTTCGGAAGAAATATAACAAATTAATGCTGTCTTTTATTAAAATCTAAGTCCAGATTTTTTGTTTTATACGTATTTTTTCAAAGTGCGTTAAGTGTCTCCATGGTAGAAAATGTTGATGTACACTCTTAACGCACTTTGAAAAATTTTTTCAAAGTGCGTTGATTTTGTCCAAAATTTAACGCACTTTGAAAATTTTTTTCAAAGTGCGTTGATTTTGTCCCAATTTTAACGCACTTTGAAAAAATTCTTCAAAGTGCGTAATTTTTTCAAAGTGCGTTGCCACAATCCTTCTTGTTGTGCCAATTAATTTTATTTATTATTATTATTTTTTTTTTTCAATGGGCAAAATCTTTGTAAGGGTTCAAAGATAAGATATAAAATATGTTTATCAGTACTTTTTAGCATCCTTCTTGACAAACCATACATACAGCTTTGGGTAATTTAAATTCAACAGTCAATTTTCAATTGTATGCGATTGGCTCCATTATGCTTTTTTTCTTTTCCAACAACTCAATGAAAAAGACCCTATTCAGAATTCAAAATCTTTAAACTTTAAACGTTGAAATAATTATCTCAGATTGGTTTCAATTGCAGATTATGTTTCAATGGTAAAAAGAGTGGTCAATAATGAATTGAAGTATTTTCGTTTTCTTTAGAATAAATAATTACAAACTGTTGATTGTGAAACACTCAAACTAAAAAAATTTCCTTTTCTTCAAAATAATACTTAACAGCAAAACATTTTTGAGCAATAATTTTGTACAGTTTAATCAACCAAAAATAAACCGACGACTTTTGCCTTTACGTTGAATTTCCAATTCTAGCTCGAAGCATCCAACAACTGCATGATTATGGATCATTTCAGCTCTCACACGGAAATGGCCCTGGAAATAAAATTAAAATTCAAACATGTAGGTTAAAAACTGAAAAACATAATAGATTATTCATTTGTTTTTAGATTTCCTTTGAAATAAATTCGAAATTGTATGCTTTTATCTCGCTGCTTCCATATTTGCTAATACATGTAAATACGAAGGTTGTTCGGAAAGTTCGTGGACTACCATTATAACATTTTTACTTAACGTCATATTATATCCAAATTTGGAAGAAACAGTAAATTTAAATGATGTGTATTAAAATTTTTAAAAATATTTTGGTTTATTTCAAGCTTATTTAGACTTAAAAAATGCAAAAATTGGATCACGGAGCTGGTCAAAATTTTTCAATTTACAATTTACAATTTACAATCAAGACACTAAAAAATGTCTGAAGTCATATCTTCTGTAAAATGACACAAAAACGGACAAATTCTACACGTTCAAATTAAGAATTGTTTCATCGTTTCTGATTCCAAATTACGACTTAATATTTTGCTTTGTTGAAAAGACTATGGTGATTTACTAAGTGCACTCATTAAAACGTGTTGATTTTAAAATTAAATTGCATGAATTCTAGTAAACCACTATTAAATCACATGGAATGAAACTTCCCTAACAAAAATATACTATAGTTAACTATAGTTTACTATAGTAAATCAAAGTTTTCAAAGTGATCACTATAGTAAATCAAAGTTTTCAAAGTGATCACTATAGTGTCATAGTGATCACTATAGTTAATCAAAGTTTTCAAAGTGATCACTATAGTGTCAAAGTTATCACTATAGTAAATCAAATTTTGATTAGTCATAGTTAGTGTCATAGTGGTCACTATAGTAAATCAAAGTTTTCATAGTTATCACTTTAGTAAATCAAAGTGTCAAAGTTATCACCATAGTGAATCAAAGTGTCAGAGTTATCACTATAGTAAATCAAAGTTTTCATAGTGTCAATGTTATCACTATAGTTGACTATAGTTAACTATTGTAAACTATAGTTAACTATAGTATTTTTTGTTAGGGTTCGCATTTAAACAAAATAAATACTTTTACATATGATAATGTGCTCATTTTAAATTTATTGAAGATAGTATAACGAAGATTGGGATAGTCCACGAATTTCCTCGAGGTATTTCTAAAGTAAAGTAGAAGAAAAAGCATGAATTTCACCCAAAATGATGATCTCCAAATCAACCGTGCCTTCCTGACAGGAAATAAGACGTTTAAATCGTTTTGCTTTTTGAATTTGCAGTCATGTCATTAATTACTCAGATACACGTAACTGTAAATGAAGAGAGGTTATCCTGTTTGGTGATGTGCCCTAAGAATTCAGGTGATAGAAATGCATGCACTGTATCGGGAAAGACAATTTTAATGTTCCAAAGGGAAAAAACCTTATCTTGGTGTATAAGTAACAGCTAAGAAGTTTTAAAGGAAATTTTGTACTTACAGTGGCCAACCATTCCCAACTGGGGGCTATGTTTGTGACCTGGAAGACAGAAGGAGGCAGGTTTATGCTGTCGGGATTGAATGGACATGTGCAGGGAAGACCATGATCTGTCAGCTGTTGTGGACAGGTTCCAGAAGTCTTAAAGGCAGACAGGAACTCACATGGATTATCGTAGTTACTGAATAGAAAACCATATAACGAATGGTAGATCATGTATGTCCTGAGTGAATATTTCAATAGTTTTTATAAACTAATAAAAGTTTATAATCCTTATTTAGAAAATTTGCATTTACCACGATCCAACATTGTTGGCGCAGGGAACTTTCGTCCAGACTCCGAGCAGTTGTTTATCCATATAAACATTCATTTTAACATCAGTGCCAAAGGGATGATTGACAGTTCCAGTAATACCAATGGTGAGATTACCAGGAAGTACTGCCGGATCGGGTGAAATGGAAATAGAGTTCACGGTAACCCATGGATGGGCAGTTGTAGAGGCTGTAAAACCAATGACACAGCTCTTTGTTTTTTTGTAAATCATATCAATACATTCTTTAATATAGTTAAATACTAGCAGTCAAGTCTGTCTCTGTTGACACGTATACAATATATTTTAAGCTTAAAAACTTAAGTGACGTCATCTTTTGTTGTTAAATATTCATTAGTTATACTAATTTGTCAAATATTCATTACTTATACTAATCCATTCTGAAGTAGTTGAATGGTTATCTATTCAATTCTTGAATATCCATCAAATAGTATACGGTATTACAAAGGTATCAAAATCAACACCGTGGATAGAATTAAGTTGCCATTTATTTTTTTTTTACCAGACCAAAATGTGTATATTGAACAGATTTATAAATAATTACACCTTTTCACAGTATCATTTGCTTCCAACATATGATCAGCATTAGAACGCTTATATGATCGAACAGAATTTGATTGGTGATCCGATTTTAATGATATCCTCTCTTCAGTCAGGAATAATAACTCTTAAAATTACTATTTAATTGAAAAGGTCTAAAGATGAAGTTTCGTGCAACAATTTTCATTTTATGCAATTCAATATGATTCAAGGCTCTTTGAACTCTTAGAAACGGTCTACTCAAAAGACCGAATTTGTACCCAATAAAGGTACAAAAATATATTTTTGAGGAAATCAAATTTCAGTTAATCTAGCCTTAGATACCGATGCTTTTTAGCATGATATGAAATTGGAAGTGATCTGTGATGTCTTGTAATGAAAGCACAAGCTTTTTTTACACTATGTATTTTGTATCAGTTAACGTTAATTGAAGAACTACAATTATACTCTTCAAGTGGGAAAAACATTAAATTTTCCCGAAATGCCTTGGGAATTAACGTGTTTTGTCCTTAAATATACTTCCAATTAGAAAATGCATAGCTGGTGCTTTTATTTGGGTTTCCTGAAAACATATTTGAGATTTGATAATTTTCCTTATATTATGTTTGACTTTAAAAATTGAACTTTGAAGAAATACCATGGGTAAATACAAATTACTTTGTGAATTCACAGACATTTTTGTGTCCATTTTCAATTGTTTAACTGCTGAGTTTCAGAACATTGGGATCGGAATACCTTAAACGCTAAGTGCAGTGCAGAGCTCTTATAGGCAGCTTTCCGATCCGGATCCAGCGCCACTTAACAAGTTACATGTAGAAAACTCTACTGAGTCGTCTCAAATCTTAAACCCTCTTTTGGCTATTTTAATGTAAGATAGAGTAACATGCTGTTCTAATAATGTGAAATATTGGACATACAATAAAAAACATTGATTTTACTTGTATAACCACAAAAAAAATGTTGGCACGTATAAATATGTTCATGTGTTGAAAGATACATAAGACGGTGTAAAATATCTAATGTCATAACAATAATAAGCTTATGATTATGAATGTAATTATCTTTTTTTCTTATCAAAGAAAAATTTGGGCGGAAAGCGTCATCAATGCACGTAGCGCATTGATTGAAACCTTTTCCGTCCAAATTTTTCTTTGATACTTCGGTCAAAGAAAAAAATATTACTTTTATTTCTTATCATTTAATTATGATTTAAAAATAATAAAATGAAACTTTAAAACGCATCAAAGACAGTGCGTAGGAACACATCACAATGTTCAACGTTGCTGAAATTCAAAATAGCTGAATGTACAGATCTACGAGCATTGATGAAATTTTCCGTCCAAGTTTTCGTTGATACATCGATCAAAGAAAAAATTAAAAGATTTATTTCTTATCATTTAATATTTATCTTTCAATGATAGATTTTACTTGAGAACGAATGACTGCCCAACATATAGGCCTACATTAGTTAGGCTACCCGAATTTTCAGACGCAGAGTAGGCCTCTTAATAACGAAGAAACAACGTTCTCAAATATTGTCGTGTCATTCCCAGCTCTTTCTGACAATACAATGGATATATTTTCCCCGGTAAACTGATATCTTTAGGTTCGTAAATGTAAAGGGAAGCTACTCAAATATAACACTAACAACTCTCTCTAGGTCACAGGAGTTTTGTATTTCATTTGCGCATCTTTTCATCTGAATTTCAAACGAGCATATAAATACATGTACCTATCACAATTTGTCCATGCATAACACAACATGCTAGAAGAGTTTGTTGCGTTTAGGGTCCTTCGGATGAGACCTTAAAAACCAAGGTCCCGTGTCACGGCAGGCGTTGGCACGATAAAGATCCCTCACTGCTCAATGGCTCTAAATGCCGAGAATAGATCAAAATTTGAAGCCCTTCACCGGTATATGGTGACGTCTCTATATGAGTGAAAAATTCTCGAATGGGACGTAAAACAACATAGAATCAATCCGACTGAATTCCGTCCTCAATTAGGTCTAGTTTCTTTTTCTCGTGCATTCGTTTCCTAGAATTATTTACATATTAACGGCATATCCCCGCTTTGGTAGCATAAAAACATTTCTTCACAGTTCTATTGTTCATACCAGGTACCTCAAAGACAAAACATTTAATTAACATACGTACATTGTATCATGATTTGTTTTCTTCTTTCCCGCAACTGCATTGTTGTCATATTGCAGACGATCTGACTTGTTTAGCAAAGGGGGATGCAATTTCCCGCTTCCAGATTACTTTGTGAAAGAGAAATGAAATAGGCCTACTTTTACTCTATTTTCCTGAATTTCAAATCTTGTCCGTTACGTTTCTGATTTATTTTCTACTTTCGTTTTTTCCGAATTATCCCGGTTTTAATCATGCATAGAGAAAACATCAATGTATCGAGTCTCCAACCCTCCTTTGGAATGCTTTCTCTGAACTTTTCAACAGTATCTCATTTTTACCGATTACTTTACCATATACCATAAAAATATCAATTGAGTGTTTCAGTTGATTTAGACTAGCAAAATATAAATACTTACGGACGCAGTCATGCCATTTATATGCACTTGCTTCTGAAATAAAAAGTACAGTTACAATTAGGGCAACTTGCATGACGACTGTTTCTAATCTTTTCTCTTGCAGTCGGGCAGTTTACTTGTTTTTATCTTGAAAACTTCATGACGACAATGACACTTGATCCATTAGGTAAGAAGATAAAATCTGGGATTATTTTGGCCAATTCAAATCAAGCTTTATATACAGTAAAACTCGGTTATAACGAGGTCACTGGGACTTATGAAAGAACTGCGAACGATAGTATTGTTCTCCCGCCTACCTCCAAGTCAATTTTCAAAAGTGAAGATATTCGAATGATTTTTAATATTTATATTGATATTTATATTAGGGATTTTCATAAAACATTACTTCTTTTGGGAAAACAACGAGAGATATCTCTAAAATTTTGGTAAAACTCGTGTTAGAAATCAACGGAAAACGGAAAACATTTTTACAACATCCCCCCCCCCCCCCCCGTGAAACAAAAATTCCTTTTTACGGGTAATATGGACTGTCATTTCACACATTCATACCAAAGCTTTTTGTGTTTCACGGGGGGGACATATGTTTATATACAAAAAAACGACAAAAATGCTTATTTTTTCAGCAATTTCCAGGTGCTTTACAACTGAAACATTATATTTTACTAATATATATGCTTAATTTTATATGCATAAAACATAAGAAAAGATTTAAGAAACATTTATTCATATCCAAGACTATTTCAGAATATGGTGATGCTTTATAGCCCGATTTCAGTGGAAGAAATCGTCTACCCCCCTTATTTCAAGAGCTGGAATTAGGGATATTTCACTATTTAGCACTGGAATTACAGTAATTAATCAATTACCATTGAACTGTTCTTTGTATTAAACAAAGATTTTTTGGCCAAATTGTCATCAATATTGAATTAAATGGTTGTAAAATGTAGGCGGGAATCGGGAGTTACCGTGCGTAGTTCTTACTTCGCTATATCCGTAATTCATTATATCCGTATAAGGAAATCGTTAAATTTACTGGCAGTATAGCTGGGGATCCAAGATAACGCTATATCCGTGAATTCGAAAAAGCCGTGTTCGTACTAAACGAGTTTTACTGTATTTATTTTTTTTTAACCAAAAATAACACTTCTTTGAAATACATTGAGAATATGTTTTCTCACCATTTATTTCCAAACACAATTTCTCTTCTCAAAAGTTATTGGAGAGTTTCTTCCTGGTACACTATGCCGCTTAACCCTATCTCTCAATCGAAATATGCGTTTTGTCACAGGCATCTTTTTCAGATGTATTGTAATTATTTTTGCAGTAACATTTAAGTTTCAAACAAAGTTAGACATAATGACTGAAGAGGGAAAAAACGTTATTTCAAGATTGTATTGAATAGTGAGACTTTGAAAATTTGAATTTTATATGTGTGGGTGGGTGGGTTGGTTAGGAATGTGAGAGGGTGTGTGTGAGAGGAGGTGGGGTGGCTCAGACGAAGTGCTGTTTAAATGAGTAATAAATATTTCATCCCGCTTTTTATTTATTTTTTTTCCAATGACAACAAAATTGCAAAATTATTTTCAAAGCATTACCTTTCCTGAACGTCTTTATTAGATTCAATATGAGTACATCTTATGGTAATCTGTAACTAACCAAAATGTATCAAGGGACCATTAAAATCATTCAAAATCAACTTTTCATTCTTAAAATACTAAGTAATACTTTGTTAGTGGAAAATAATATGAGAAAATTTAATCTGAAATAGTGAGTTCTTTTTTTTCAAGTTTCACAAGCTACAGTAAATTCATTTAAACACATATTACATGTACAAACACGCAATACATACGTATCGACTCAATAAAATTACTGGTACATAAACTAGACTTATTTAAACTAAATAGTCTGGTCGGATTTACAGAATAATACTTTAACGGAAAATAATTAGTTTTTGGTCCAGTGTGCTTTTTACAACCTAATTTGAGTATGCTCAGTCCGAAAAATATGCTTGTCTTCATGAAAATGGCTTTGAATAGGTCAAAATGGCGATTCAAAATCTTTGACAATCAATTTTTAGCTCACCTGAGCCAAAGGCTCAAGTGAGCTTTTCTGATTAAAATTTGTCCGTTGTCTGTCGTTGTCGTCGTCGTTGTAAACTTTTCACAATTTCATCTTCTTCTCCAGAATTACTGGGTCAATTTCAAGCAAACATGGGAGAAAAATTTCATGAATAATTTTAATGACAACAATGCAGCGAACAAATGATAAGGGAATACTTAAATCATTACTTTGCTTCAAAAATTTGGTATTTCCCAACAGAAATGGGAATTTTCTCCTTTTTCCCCTACCTAGTATTCCTATATTCTTCTTTCCTAAGGATTTTACATTTGAAAATGTCCATACACTGCAGATTGGCATGTTTTCATTCACACCTCACTTTTCTACAAGTGATGGTGCTGTTGAAAATTATAGAATCTAGGCAAACTTCTGGAATGGCTTTGCCAAACGACCATTATTCAACTTCCATCCCTTCTCAGTTGAACGTTATATTGTGGACCTGCCACTATTGTCAATCTCCATATTAATGTTTATATTTTGCTCGCTTAGTATGCATATAAAATCTTTACTTCTCAGGGCTTTTTGATTTCATAAATAATACTTTTCGAAGCGTCTAAGATAGTGTGTCTTGGTAATACAACTTAAATTCTGTATGTTTGATAAGTTAATTTTTCCTCTTCCTTAACCCTCTATAAGCTCATAGTTGTCTCTGTACACCTTGAGTGATATACAGGTCACATGCACATGTAGTGTCACATCATATCAATGCGTGAAGTGTAATCAAATGTGTCTGAATCTCTGGAAAAGAGAAATGTTCCACCACAATAATATAAAAAGGAATAATTGCAGGCTTTAGAAAGGTTCCACCTACCTTCTAGTAGTAGCAATGATACATCGATATAAGAAGCTAAGAGGACAGCTGAGGTGCAAGCGGATACTCAAGAACACAACATCAACATCCCTCAGCACACCACCCAACATAACTGATTTCTTTTCAGTCTACAATGTACAAGCTATTGATATAAGCCCTGATAGGAGCTCAGTTTTTACCCCACAACCACCCCCATTCCAGCTTTATATGCAATATGTTTCAGTTCAATCGCTAATTTCTTAACAGCTTAAGGAACAACACATACGTGTTCAAGTATTAATGGACAGTTTTTTCCCCAAACAATAATATAAAGGAGGTTTTAGGATACCTATTTCTTAGTTTTCAATTAGACGATCTGTAGCAAACCCTCAACTGTCTGTGTAACCAATGCGCTGAGTGAAGAATAAATCTCTTATAAGACCAGAAATTTTTCTTTTTTGATCATGTTGATTAGTTTATCTTTTTTGTAAGAAAGCTCACTTTTCATTGCATCAGCAACTTATTTCTCAAACTTTATCATTTGGAATCACATCATGCGCATTTTTGTCAAGTAAACTTGAATATGCAATCTTGAATTATAGGAAGGAGACCCTACTGAGTCCTCGTGATTCCAATTACTCGACATTTTTACCTGTAGTGTTCAGCCATTCTTGACTTTGATCTGAATTTAATTGTTCAAACACTTCCCTTAACAACAACATTTCCTTGTCGGAACTCTTTAAGAACCTCACAAGGCAACTTGTGACAATCAGCAAGGATTTTTTTTTAATCTCTTTCTGATTTTGTGAATTCCAAAAGAAAAGTCACCAAGTCCAAATTCATGTATGACCATCAAAACTGTTTTGAAATAGGACAATATTCATTCCTTAAACAGGACATTCTGTAGTTGCACGAATTTAGATCCAGCAATGTATGTCTGTCTCTTTATAACATCATTCCATATTTTTGAATGATTCACATTTTTGTTGGATATGAATAACAAAATGCAGGGACGCAAAATCAGAGAGCTGGGCAGTGATTTTATGAGCTTTCCAGTCAAGAATATTTATGCTTAATGTATATTATATAGGTTTTGATAGTCATTAATTGTATTCATAGATATTACATTCAATTTTTTTTTCATATGATTTAATAATATTTAACTCGCTGTGTCGTTGAGATCCAACATGCTAGAAACCATAGTAAAGTATGTCACCTGCATTAGTCCTTCCAGGTGAACTTTAACATTTATTTTTTCTACAATAGACTAAAAATGGACCGAGAAATTTCACATTGTTACAATTGGCTTAGAAAAGTTTTTTTTTTTCACCAGCACCTGACTTCCAGGTAAATGTAGCATTTATTTTTTTTCCCTAATCGAACTAAAAATAGATCAAGACATTCCAATATACTAGTAATACACTGTATTCCCACTTCTCTCACTGTGTTGGATTAGGACTTCAAAAAATATAAACACCAAAAAAGATGACAAGGTTTGTTTATCGAATTTGTATCATTTAATCATTGAATCAAACAGTAAACCAATTATTACTCTTTTTAAGGACAATAATTTAGCTACCTGAGGAGTACACTATTCACCTCGTTGTTTGGCTATTGTACTAGTCAGGTAGCTAAATCATCGCATTGACCTCTAAAACAGTAAAAATTGTATAATATTAATATTTTGTATGCCCAGAAACATAATGACACGAAAATGGTTTGTACTTTACTAAAAGATATCTTAGTAGCAGTTCGGGTTCGGTGAATATTGTACTCTACATATAGCTAAGTCATCGTATTGACATCAAAAAGATATCTTAGTAGCAGTTCGGGCTCGGTGAATATTGTACTCTACATATAGCTAAGTCATCGTATTGACATCAAAAACATCAATGATTGTACACTCAGAAGCATGGTGGCATGGGTAATGGGTTTAGTTTTCTGATAGATGTCGTCAAAAGTTGGTCATAGAATTCATAAAACAAAGATTCGTGTCGTAAAAAAATATGTCTGTAACAATATGTAAAATGGATAAATTGAAAATTTAATCATCACTTTCTTCATTTTAAAACATAAACAGTTGTTTGTTTTCTTTTCTTTTCCGTAAACGACTCAGAATTAAGTCGTATAAGTATTTTGATAAATTCATATGTTTACCATTTTAAATCG